AGCTACGGATTTTCATTGCCAACCGTATCGATTTCTCCTTGGAATTATGTTACATATTTTTACTTCCTTGTACGAAGTAAAAAGGAAGTATTGTAATCGCGAAAAGTTTCAGGCAGCATATTTCAACGAAATTATCCATTTTGACCGCTATCGACGTACGTATCTCGCATAACTCAAAAACCAGTAGCCACAGAACGTTGAAATTTTGTATATAGGATTGCTATAATATGTAGATGTGCACCTCGTATATTGGTTGCAATCAGCGGCACCAAACGTATATGAATATATTTATATATATATCCAATCTGTTGCCCGGCTCAGTGATCTCAGTTCCTTTACTCTTATATGTTTGTAAATTGTACATTTTTTGCTTTAAAAATGATCGAATTATGTTGTTCTTATCTTCCGGTTAAGGTTTTTATGCCTTTAGTAAATCTGTATGCAATATTTTTAGAATTATCAACAATTTTAAAGTTGTTTAAGTGCCGCTAAGCCTTTGTTTTGACGGCGGCCATTGATTGTTTACATTTGGAACAGCAGACTAGTGGAATTGTTGCCAATCTAGAGAAACTTGGCTTCGCAACAACAAAGATAACGCCTTCATTTATTATTGCCCATTAAATCATGCTTAATCCTTTCTGGAATACCTATATTAAAATTTATAAATATCTATATTAAAATTTACTTCGTAATTTTTAATATAGATATTTTGAGTTTTTATGTATTTTTTTTGCCTTCTCGCGAAGTGAGAACTGAATTAATTGAATGAGAAATACTCAATCGTCTGTGAAAAACTGTTTCTTTTTTGTTTTGTTTGCTTAATTTCTTTTATACATCGTTCTAGCTTTATTATAGTACTTTAATAGAACATTTGGCAACGATTAGATAATTCTATTCTTTAAATGATATAAATTTTGTGCATTATGAGTTATAATATGAACGAACTATAATACTGTTAAGTGAATGTAGCGCCAGAGTGTCGCTATGGTAAACAAATACTAGAGTTAATTTTAAAGAATGTATTTATTCTATTGTGGTTTATGCGCTGTCAGCGAAATAGATTTAATTCAATCCAATAAGTTTAAATGAAATGCAAGAAAAAATGCGTATAATTTAATATTCCATACAAGGAAGTCATGTGGATTTTCACATCAGATTTTTTATTACATCAGATGAGACATCAGATTTTTTATTACTTAAGAATCAAAATGCATGTTTGTTACTGCAACTTTGTAATCAAACAAAATATCTTTCTTATTATTTATTTTCAGTTTAAAATTTTTATGGATTATTCAAGTTATTATTCAAGTTATTATTATTATTTTAGAACTTATTTTGATATATTAAACCTTACTTTCGAAACTCAAGTGGGTCACTTGAAATTATGAAATGGTTTGACCCACAAATCATAGGTAGCCGAGGCCTCAATTACCTTGATTCCTCACGCTATAATATATCTTAATTTTTATCAATTGGAAGTGGGAGAAATACCTTATAAACCCTTTAATTACATGCACTACGGACTTTGTACACTTTTAGAGTTTTATCGGACATTTAATTACATGCGTTAGTGTATTTTGTATACTTTTGGAGTTTTATCGGGCACTTAATTACATGCACTAGTCTATTTTGTACACATTTGGATTCTTATCGACACTGAATTACGTGCACTAGTGTATTTTTCACACTCATAGGGCATTTAATTACGTGCACTAGTGTATTTTGTACACTTTTGGAGTTTTATCTGGCCCTTAATTACGTGCACTAGTGTATTTTGTACAATTATCACTCACATGTATTTTGTATATTTGTACAATGCATCGCGTGGTTAAAGCTTATATCTGGAATATATAGAGCAGGAAAAATTAGCTTGTAAAGTTTAAGAAGACAATAATAGTCTTAATAAGTCACAATTTATGTTAGTCGTGCTTTTAATTTTTAAAAACCGATGCGAATTGTTGGACCGGCAGAGAGAAAAAGGATCATTACAGGTGAAAATTAAATTCTGCTTTAGATCTCTAGCAGCCAAATTACAATTGTGAAGTTACATAATCTGTGCGACGTTAATCCATGGAAACAACAAATCTTCTTCAGTTTGAAAACTTACATTAGCATTGTAAGAGAGAAACCGGAAGCACTTCCGCAGAGAACCCGGTAAATGTAAACATCGCCAACTTTGGCGATAATAGTTCAAACCTGGTAACCCAGCCGATTTATCGTTTTCGCTTGTTCGAAGTTTGCAACCATTTCTCTTGCGTTCATTTTGTTGAAATATCCCAGGCAGCACGTCTCCAAAAATATACGTATAATTTTGGTGAAATAAGGGTATGGTATTTTTTGCACGTTACTTTTACGAAATTTATACGATTGAAAAAGGCTGAAGTTACTGTTGACTCTTGATCGTTATTTTCCACACGTTATTTTTACGAAAATTATACGAATCCGAATGTACTAATAAAACTACCGCCATGATGGTATATTTTATTCGTCACTTTTACGCATATTATACGAATCCGAATGTTCTGAAAGAACTACTGCCTTTATGGTATATTTCATTCGTCACTTTTACGGATATTATACGAAGTCTAAAAAGATTGAAAATGAAGTTTTTAATTCAAGATATTTAGTGTATTTCTGGCATTTCACTTTGTTTTCCTTGTCCACGAACATGAAAAAAGGGACATTCATATATGAGGCTAAAATTTTTATATAAATTTTAACATGTGAGCTAAATCTTTACGTGCATTTTTGCAAAAAATTATATTTTCTTAATTCAAAAACATCTTCAAAATAACTTATTTTATTTTCTTATATCAAATTTGTTTTTTTTATTCATATCAACACACTTACATTAATTTACACAATTTAATTTCTTTTATGAAAATCCTATTACCCATTTAACTGGAATAAGCTGTATATTAAATTTGTGTACTTACTGCTGAGTTTGGTACAATACTCTCCTATTTATTTATTTAGCAAATGTGGGCAATTAAATTGGAATAAGACTAGCAAATCTTTCATGTCGAGGAATAGAATAATAAATACAGCAAAAGATGCTCGAAAACGTTTAACTTCTTGAACAATAGTTTAATGTAGACCAAAGGATCATTAATTATAATCAAAGATATACTAATATTTTTATTTAATAATAAAAATAATAACTCTACGAAATTGCAAGCTGAATCCTGATATTTTACATATATTTCAGTTCCTTTAATCTTTGTTATAAAAATCATATGAGGCTAACTTTTTTAAATTTTGTTTAATGTACGGAAAAAATGATATAGCGATTTTAATAATTTTTATATGAGGAAAAAATTAATAAATAATGTAAATAAATAATTTTATATTTTTCCTGAAACAGTTAAAGACATTCTTAATATGGAGATCTACAGAATAAGTACAAGGGTCCAGTTAAATGAACTCAAAATTTGCATAGTTAATTTTACGCTAACTTATAAAAATTAACCGGATTTATGATTATACACTGAGCATGCGCATACACAGACATTTCTATTTTTCGTAGAAAAATTTAATTATTACCTTAATACAGAGATGCTGTGAATATAAATTTATATAATGCAAAAGTAAGTTTATTTCATATGCTAATTTAGAGGCTTTCTTAATATGTTTAATTATAAAGAAAAAAAAAAGCATTGCAATTCTTGTTCACTGACCAATGGCAAAGCAGACACTTTCTACTTCCGGTTGTGGCGGGATATTTGTGAAGTCAGCAATGGCGGTCGAAAAGAATGGTAAAGTCGCAAAGAATACTGTTTGTTCGTGGATTGGCGTTTGTGACTGAATCCATCGAAGTTACTAATTATTTGAAGAAAGTAAGTGAATATTTTATATTTTCAGTGTTTAATACTCGTACTTTCTTCACCTATATGAAATTTTATAAATAGCGTCTGTGTAGGAAATGTGATTTTCCATGTGTTGTTCTTTTGTGTACGTGCCTAATGATTCATTTTCAGGATTTGGTACTGTTAATGACATAGAATACCAAATCAATAAATTGAAAAAATTTTGCACTAGTCTGTTTCTTACTGTTTGTGTCACTCCTGTTTTCTTACTGTATGTGTCTCACCTTTTTAGAGTTATATTACTTTTACTCAAACGTTTTAATATTTATCTTAAAGCATACTGTAATTAAGCAGGAAATAGCTTTTAATGGAAAAAGAAAGGCAATATTAACATGACTAATTGTTCAGAAATCTGTTATGGAAATGTTATCTACCTTATGCCAAAAAATAAAGCATGTAACTTTCATTTATTTATGAAATTCAAAATTTTTTATTTGCTTAGTGTTTTCCCTAAAAATAATTTAATTTCTTATTTTTGAATTTAGTTTTATAAATTTGCTTTAATATATAATCTTTAACTCAAAGATATTGTGCTATTAAAAAAGGAAATTTTATGCCATAGAAAACACAGGTACTTTGTTCCAAATCTGTGTTCATTTTTTTATATATATATACTGAATTTTTATGCACTTGTAATTACTGAAATATATCCTTTCATGAATAATAAGCAAGTCCTAAGTCCTTTCATGAATGCATTTTTTTTTTTTTTTGATTTTGTTGTTTTAAAAGATCTGCCATAGTTAAAGAAAGAAAATAAAGTAAGAATGCTTTACTTTCAGTTTTGAATAAATTTATTACTATTTACTGCAGCTTCAAGTTTCTCTAAACATAATTTTCGAAGTCAAAACTTGATAGTTATGTTGATTATTAGACTTGCATGAAAAAATTTATTGAAAAATTAGTATTTGATCTAAAATACCTTAAATTATTTGAATTATATTTTACTAAATCATGTATTTTGATATAACTAGATAGTTAAAAAAATTAAAATTGTAAATGTGCAGAAATGCTTATATAAAACCAAGAAATTGTTTATATTTTTGTTGCTTTTTCCCTTGTAAATTAATTATATATATATATTACAGTCTGGGGAGTCAGCACCCTGCTGAATTGTAGTAAACGAGACGTCCAATCTACTAGACCATCAAAGATGCAGATTTGGATTTTCTATTTCATAGTTATTGAAATCATAATGGTATGTTTGTTTAAATTAGTACTGTTTATGAATGTGATAAAAATAAATTCTGATAAGCTAAGAAATGATTTATTTTCTATTAATTATGAACTGTAAATAATGTAACCAATTTTCTTCATAGTATTTACTAAACATTTTTTTTTTTTTTTTTTTTTTTTTTTAAAAGGGAGGTAGTCTTATTTATACAATTCTTGCAGAGATACCAAGAAATAAAACATTTCAGGAATTTTCACTCAGTATATCTTGATGTGTAAAATCATGTTGTTCAATGCCATATTACTTTTTCACAGGAAAGTAATTTTATTGATCTAACATCTGCATAAATCAAACTTTTTTAAGAATGATTACAGTTTCTAAGCTAACTTAAAATTTTCAGATTTAGAAAATGTATGTTTAATGTAGCATTAGTTTTCCATGGAATAGAAAAGGTTTTCAAAATGTTCAGTTGTTAGAGGGAAATAATATAAATGAGATTGTCCTGATACAGTTTCAGCTGGAAATGAAACTGAATTTTCGGATAGTGAAGATTTCATTTAAGAATTCTAATAAAACTGATTAATGTAAATCCTCTGCATTTAAGAATTCTAATAAAAGTGTATAACCTACAAGGATTGCCAGTTTAGGCGAGATAGGTAGTCATCATAATACGTACCTTATATTTTATTATTTTTAAATTAAATTGAAAGTAATAACTAGTTTTCAAGAATGGAGTTAAACTAGACTTGCATTCAACTCTGGTTTATTGTGTTAATGATGTTTTGCTGTAACAAATATGAATTTTTTGTTTAAGTATAATAATTTAAAATGTTTTTTTCTAGAGAATGAAGTACTGCCACTAAGGTAAAGGTGCTAACTTTGCAAGGTAATTTTCTATTCTACTATTAACTCAATCTTTATGTCCTGTTACAGATATATTGGCAGAAATAATGAAAACCTGACATTCAAAAAGAAAAATAATAATGTTGAATGTAGTATATTAGATGGTTAACTGCGGTTTGGCAGCTCATTAATAATCTTGCACATATTGAGTACGAATAACTTTGACAATTACCGGTATTTTCAATAGTATAAAATTAGGCAAGAAAGCAGCTTTAGCTTAGCACCGATTTTAAATACAACTCTCTTAACAATATTGGTTTGACAAAGGTAAAATATAATTGAATTTAATAAGTTGGAAATACTATCTGTGAGTTAAAAAATAATTTCAAATAAAATTTCTTTTTTCAGTTTTTCATGTTATTTATTTAATGTTATTGTAATCTGATTTATCATATTTAGTCACATATTCCATCCCTCTTTGCACTATAGTATATAATTAAAAGGACTTATCAGTTTCAGCAATATTTTTTTTACCAGTATACATTTTTACCATAACTCTGTTTCTAAATCATATCCTGAAAAATTAAGGAGTAAAGTACACAAAGAAGGAAAATATGCAAGTAAATAATGGCATTTAGTGTTGTTTATGTGTCTAATATTTGTACTAGATTGTAAAAGTTATAAAAATTCTATTAGCTTTTTTAAATTGAGATGCTTCTTTGCACCCAAATGGTTAAAGCCCTAGTGTGTGACTTTGGTACTTTGATCTAACTTCTATTCCTAATAAATAATCCAGCTGCATACAGTTTACTCAATTTCTGCCATGTGTAAGGTAAACAATATTAGCTTTTTTTAAATATATCTTTTACAACTATTCCATCAGGTAGATTTCTTTCATATTTTGCCTTAATTGAGTCATCCTGCTAATTAAGAATTTATTAAAGTTAATATGTTAAGTTTTTTGTGTGTATAATTCATTTTAAGTATGTGCAAGCAAATGCATACATTAACAGTTACGTAGAATTATGTTTTGGGTATCAAATTCAGAAATTTTGGGGCTGTTTTTAGAAGATTTATTAATGATTTATACTATATTAATATTGGTAAAAAAATTCTGTGGCTTTTATATGAGAGTATATATTTTAAAATAGCTGCATGATATGGTAGAGGTAAAAAGCTTCATGTGGATCATAAATTAATATTATGTGGCAATTTTTCATTTATTTAATAAAGAAAATATTCAAGCCACAATTAAAATTTTTTCACTGGATTATTTGCATACAAAGTTTGCAGCAAATATTTCCTGCAACAGAAGTGACAATTTTTATTTTGCCAAGACAGGAAATTTAGTTAGTGAAAGCAGTAACTCCTATTTTGAGATGTTAAACAGGAAGGCAAATTTTTGAATTTAAATTGATTTTTGAAGGAAGACTTCATTTAGTCTTGCTATCATTCTACGTGGCTCTTAACTTTTTTATGGTATTTATAATTTTATTGTTATTCAGCTTTCTGTTTGCTTAGAATGCACATGAATGTAGACTTGAAATATTTTATATTGCAAACTGAGATGCCATTGTTATCATAATTAAAGATTTTTGCTCTGATTTTGGAGGAATTTACTGATAATACTTTTGATTGTGTATTGGTTTCTGGTTTATTGAAATGTGTAAAATAGCCTGTTAATGCATATACGTATGTTAATGACATGTATATGTTTATGAAGTATTCTGTTATATGTATATAGTGTTGTGATTAGTTTTCTGCTTACTCTTTATTTAAGAAAAAGTTATCTGTAAGAAAGCGAATATTCTTTACTATATGTAGGAGTAAAAGAGTAAAATTGAAAAGGCTAATGCAATATAATTAATACAAAATTAAGTTTTTTCTCATGTACTTAAATACAAACATAGCCATTAAAGACTTTCTCAACCTTGCAGTTCTAAACAAATCTTAAGTATTTTTTACTTGAAATTATAGGCATTGTGTAAGGTATATAATTGAAGCTTACTGTGTGATAGTATGAAATTAAATTTTTAATTACTGAAATGTAAATTTTTAAATATGAAATACTCAGTGCATTTTATATGCATCTTTTAATACTTCAACTATATTTAAAAACTGAAAACATCTGAAGTGTGAAATTATTACAAATTTTTCTTTTTCTTGTTTAGGAGCTGTTCTCAAAACATTGGGTGACAAAGAATTCACTTTTACAAAAATCGAGCAGGATATTAAAGACAGCGAACTATAGAACAAATATGGCGAAGCTGCATGAAGTCTATGTTGAATTTTATTATTGAAAAAAATATGCTCTTCAGATTTAATGTTAGTTTTTATTGTTTAACAGTAATTGCAGTTTTCGAATACCTGTAAAATAAACCTAATTCTTAAATTAATTTCATGTGTATTTCTTTTGCAAGTATTACAGTTCATAATACTTCAAACAACTTGAAATTTTATACTTGTTAATTTATGTGGGATATGTTCATAATAATTTTATAATTTAAATAACTCATTGTCATCATATGAGCATAATCTAAAATGCACAGCATTTGACAACAAATTAATAAAAAATTAGCCAACTTCTAATTGCTTTCTTTTGTCCAGTTGCCTCTTTTTAAATCATTTAATACCATAAAGCTATTTGATGAAAAAAAAATAATTGGTATGTCCACATCAACATGTACATTTATAATGTTATAGAAAAAGTCACATGAGATAAATATTTAAAAACTTCAATATTCCTAAACAAATTAACTTTTTAAAATTTTATCTGGTATATAAGATAAAATAAAGAACATATTTAGGTAATTTTGAATTTGCATAATTTTATGAACTTATTTATGAAATTAACAGTTACATTGTAAAAGGGAACTTTTTAAAAATACCTCAATAAAGCATTTCTTTTGTAGAGGTGAACTTTTAGTACTGATCTAATATATTTATAAGATTTTAAACTGAGAAAGACAACAATAATAGATTACAATACATTGCAAGATTGACTGATAAATGTAAAATTTTTACATATCATAATTATGTGTGTAATTAAAACAGAAGTTACTCGATTAACTTGCATGCAAATTAATATTTTCTTTAACATGTTTGGGATAAACTGAATTTTAATAAATAAATATGTATATATTTGTGTATTATCTGAAGATATGAATGAAATATTTGTGACATTAAACATTCATCTTCAAGGAAAATAACAAAGTCAACTTGGTAAACTATTGGAAAAGGTAAGTTTTCTACAATTTCCTGGTCTATATTTAACAATTTTAAAATTTAGCACACTCATTCAAATAATCTAAACGTATGATGTTTTCTTTTGTGCTACATTCGTTTACTGAATTTGTTAATTAACTATATTGTACTTTAGATAGAAATTAACGTAGATATTCCCTGTATTTTACGGTACAAAAACTTATATATTTGATAATAATTGACCTAAATCTTCCCTATGTTTTCTTTGCATATACGAATGACTTTGGTAAAAATTTAGTCCGATGTCTTCTCCTCTTTACTGTGTATAAGTGCACATTTTTGGTAAAAAATTTGCATAAATCTCCAATTACCTATTTACTGCATTTTTCGTAAAATGTGCTTATTTTAATCTCTTATTTTTTATATAAATCTATGCAAAAATGTTCTGCATATTATGATTAAAAGATAAAATTAATTTAATATCAAATTTTTACATATCCACCTTTTAGGTATGTACAGCAATATGGAATATATATAACTGGAAAATTTAAATGCAAAAAAATTAATTTCTATTCAAAAATTACATAACACTAAAAGGCTGAAAATCACTTTTAATATTTCATTTCAAAGTGACTACAAAATATGCAATAAATTTTGTAAACCTGAGTTCTATGTTTTAAATCAATTAATGCTATCGTTCATTTACATGGCATAAGAAAATGTCCTTCGGAAAAGCAAATAATTTATTTAAAGTGTTATTTAGTAAACAACTGTTTGCTACAGTTTTTTTACTAAATTTAAATTTATGAAATGAATTTAGTAAACAAAAATGCAAATGAACGATAGCATTAATTGATTTAAAACACAGAATTGATGTTTACGAAATTTATTGCATATTTTGTAGTCACTTTGAAATGAAATATTAAAAGTCATTTTCAGCCTTTAAGTGTTACGTAATTTTTTAATAGAATTTTTTTTTTTTTTTTCATTTACTAGTGCATTTAAATTTTCCAGTTATATATATTCCATATTGCTGTACATAACTAAAAGGCAGATATGTAAGAATTTGATATAAAAATTATTTTACCTTTTAATCATAGCATACAGAAAGTTTTTGCATAGATTTATATAAAAAATATGAGATTAAAATAAGTACATTTTATGAAAAATGCAGTGAAAAGGTAATTGGAGATTTATGCAAATTTTTTACCAAAAAATGTGCATTTATACACAGTAAAGTGGAGAATACATCGGATTAAATTTTTACCAGTCATTCGCATATGCAAAGAAAACATAGGGAAGATTTAGGTCAATTACTATCAAATATATACGTTTTTTGTACCGTAAATTACGGGAAATATATACGTTAATTTCTATCAAATATATACGTTTTTTGTACCGTAAAATACGGGGAATATCTACCTTAATTTTTACCTAATATATACGTTTATATACAGTAAAAAATCGGGGAAATTTACGTAAATTTTTACTAAATATATACGCATACGTGAAGCAAAAAATTGAGATTTACGTATATGCGATAAATATACGTAAATTTTTACTAAAAATATACGTAAATCCCTGAAATTTACGTATATTATACGTAAAAGTTGCGAATGAACAGTAGTCTCTCGCGTAAATATACCTAAATTTTACGTAAAAGTTACGTATAGTATAACGTAAAAATATACGTAAATATTTAGTAATTGCCACTGGACACTTTTTATGATATTTTTACGTTCAACTTGAACGTTTTTTATACGAAAGGCCATTCGTAAATTGCACGTATTTTTCTCGGCAATTTAGAATCTGCTCTATTGTTCGCATTTGCAGATTTATTATTCCTCTTATTTATTATTATTTTTTTGAATTTTAACAATGAATAGATGTCGTAGATAGAGCCGTTCTCTTCGGATGAAAGGAAGAAAATACGGCGGGAGGGTGAATGCTAATTTGTAACAAGGCTGTTCACGTTGTGCTCTTAATTATTAATAGCTCTTAAGAACCATGAGCAGAATCATGAGGTTTCCAACCTCTAAAAATAATGTGTTTCCGTAGGCCGCAAAAATGTGCATGTGCATTTTAAATAATGTTTTTTATTTTTTATTGGTTATTGTCATCAAAATTATGAGAATAAACATTTTTATGGCGTAAAATTTAACAAGTAATATATTTTAATGCTTTTCTAACAATAGCTTTTCAGAGATGTAGGTGGTGACTAAGATGATTAATTGCAATAAAAATATTGATTATTAAGAGACAGAAATTTGATGCATCACCATGGTCATCAAAATTAGCAAACACTGCTGATGTAAGAATATATTGTTTCCTGTGTTAATTGGAATTTAAGACAAATTTTTTTCGTTTTCACGTTAACCGGTTAATTTCAATACATTAATAATATATAATTTTAAATGAATTTTAATTTCCGTTATAAATGCTTATATATTGTCTTATGTTTAATATATTCTTTTCTGTGCTAACTTGAATTAATTCAATTTATTTTCGTATATCACGTTTAACCGGTTTGTTTTACATCTTCATGCTTATTATCTGTGATTTTTTTACTCCATATGCTTGTTTGTCTGCTAACTTGAATTTACATGCACTAAAACACGTTACAAATATCACATTTACGGCATTACGGCTCGGCTCACGTCGATGAACCGCGAGCTTGGTGAGTAAAAATGCAACGGCGCCAACAGATTCTTTCCGGAAGCGCCAACCGGTTCTCTGCGAATGAAAACCCGAGAAACCTTATAAAACTTTATTAAATCACCTGTAGAAGCTTATTTTCCCTTTTCTGCATCTATGAATAATGATGCCAGTACGACAATGCAAAATGTAAAATAGGACAGATTTCCTCGATAACAGGCATAGTGTTAAGCAAGGAAGAGTCAAAATAAAATTCTTTTGTAGAGTGGGAAAATGGTCAACAAATGGTTATTAACTCCTACGCATTGTCGAAGTTCAGTGTTTAAGTTGTTTAGTTGTAACGCAATAAAAATAGAAAAAAGTAAATGCTGTTTCACATGTCTAAAATACAATCACGACTAAAACCATGCGAAAATCAGAAAGAAATAACCGATGCTTAGGACATCTAGTGACATTTTCACGAATCTCAAATATAATTTTTTATGAATGCGCTTGACTCGTTTTTAGATGTATTTTAGAATTATTATATAAAATGGCATTTGTCTTGCAAAGCTTCCTCTGAAAAGGGAAGTAAAAGTGACGTACAAACGCAAAATACGTTTGTTATCAAATCCTGCTACAGCAAGCCCCGGTAATAACGAATCCCGGATATAACGAATTTGGTTCCGTTCAATTTTCTATACCCTTAATGATACTTCATATCGCTTTAACGAACTCCAAACATATGAAAATCGGATATGAAAACCTTTATGAATAATTTTGAGTGAAATATGTTCCGGTTATTTCATAATTTATTCCACTTGCAAGGTTTAACAAATTATTAACCTTAAAACCATCCATATTTACGGAATTCAGATGGTGTAAAACACCTTTATATTACTATTCACGTATCATTTCTAACTATTCTCTGTGCTTCATACAAAAGCCCTTCGTGTCAGGTGTAACAATTCTTGTAAACCAGGACACAAAATACTTAAAAAAACCTGGTCACACACTAGCTTAGAAGATCACGCAGTGTCACAAAAATGATTATTCATAATGACAAATGTATATTTTACAGAGACGCATGTAATTCGAGGGATGATTCTGAAATATGACTTTTATGAAAAGTAATTTAGCAACTAAAATGATTAATGTATGAATTATTTATGATTGATTAATGTAAAATGATTAATAAAAAAGGAAATAATAAGAAGATAATGATTTCACGTAATAATAATATAATAATAGTACAATAAGACCCCGCTTAACGCTGTTTCGTTTAGCGCTGTTTC